GGCTGAGAGAGCTCTTGACAGAAACTGCTCTTTTTCAAGAACAACTCTTATCAGAACTAAGGCTTGCCCAAGGTCATCCAGCCAGGTGGAAGTGGAGAAGTGGGGAATCAAACCTGGTTCTCCCAGATTAGAGTCTGCGCACTTAACCACTACACCAAATTTCTGCAGAAGGTTTGACACCCTAGGTCTTGTAAAGAGCATGAAAGCTCCCTATAAATCTGTAGCAAACAGAAATGAATTCTCTATGCGGTCTTGTCAGTCTTGCCTTGCATAAGTTTCTCAACTTGGGCAAATTGTAAATGTTTCAGTTGTCACAGTTTAGTGTTGGCCATGGATTCACTTAATTTCAGCTCACAACTCTTACTTTATGTTGTTTTCCCTCATTTCATGGACTGTTGTGTTTCTGTTGAGTTACCAGACATGTTGGAATTGAAGTCGATGAACTGACTGAATATCGTGTCAGGATGGCAACCCAACTTTCCATTTGATGTACATGGGAAGACCCTTGTTTAGTGATTCTGCTGTGGTCTTCAAGTGATAACACAGTGGCTATAGAATGGCTAGAATAAGAAGTCATGGAGTTCAAACTAAATCTAATTTTTATTTATTTAAAACATTTATTAGCTGCCCATTTGCCTTGTGAAACTGAAGGTGGTTTACAGTATAAATAAGACAACAGTTTTTATAGTGGTCCACAGTGGTCCACTGCTTTTTAACTTGTTCATTAATGATTTGGAGATGGGAGTAAGCAGTGAAGTGGCTAAATTTGCGGATGATACAAAGTTGTTCAGGGTGGTGAAAACCAGTGAGGATTGTGAGGCACTCCAAACGGATCTGTCAAGGATGGGCGAGTGGGCGTCAACATGGCAAATGGGGTTCAATGTGGCCAAGTGCAAGGTGATGCACATTGGAGCCAAAAATCCTAAATATAAATACACATTGATGGAGTCTGAACTGGCAGAGACTGATCAAGAGAGAGATCTTGGAGTTGTAGTGGATAACTCACTGAAAATGTCGAGACAGTGTGTGACTGCAATAAAGAAGGCCAATGCTATGCTGGGGATTATTAGGAAGGGTATTGAAAACAGATCAGCCAATATCATAATGCCCCTATATAAATCAATGGTGAGACCTCATTTAGAATACTGTGTGCAGTTCTGGTCACCACACCTTAAAAAGGATATTATAGCTTTGGAAAAAGTGCAGAAAAGGGCAACTCGAATGATAAAAGGGTTGGAACACTTTCCCTATGAGGAAAGGTTAAAGCGCTTAGGGCTCTTTAGCTTGGAGAAAAGACGACTGAGGGGTGACATGATCGAGGTTTATAAGATTATGCATGGGAAAGAGCAGGTAGAGAAAGAGGTACTTTTCTCCCTTTCTCACAATACAAGAACTCGTGGGCACTCCATGAAACTGCAGAGCGGTCGGGTTAGAACGGATAAAAGGAAGTACTTCTTCACCCAAAGAGTGATTAACACATGGAATTCACTGCCACAGGAAGTGGTGGGTGCTACAAGCATGGACGGCTTCAAAAGGGAATTAGATAAGCATATGGAGCAGAGGTCCATCAGTGGCTATTAGCCACAAGGTATAGCTAGGGGCTCTGGGGCAAGTGATGCTCTGTCTTCTTGGTGCTTGGGGGGGGGTCAACAGTGGGAGGGCTTCTAATGTCCTGGCCCCACTGCTGGACCTCCTGATGGTACTGGTATTTCTGGCCACTGTGTGACACAGAGTGTTGGACTGGATGGGCCTTTGGCCTGATCCAACATTGGCGTCTCTTATGTTCTTATGTTCTTAGTTATAAAACACATAAAATATTAGTTTAAAATCTCAGTTGGGACTGACAGTAAATAATTGTTTAAAAACCCTGAAGTAATCAAATGCAGTCCTAAATAAACTGTCTTCAGCTGCTTCCTGAAGGTCAAAAGTGAGGGGGCCAAGTGTACTTCCCTGGGTAGATTGTTCCACAATTGTGAGGCTGCTACTGAACAGTCCCTTTATTGTGTGTCCAACAGGTGAGCTTATTTGATTAGTGGGACAGTCGGGAGGTCCTCTCCCTGTGATCTTAATTCCCAGGCAGGAATTTATGGTAGAATGTGGTCCTTCAGATATCCTGGTGCCAAGCCATGTAGAGCTTTAAAGGACAAAACCAACACATTGAATTGGGCTTGGGAGCAAAGCTGGGCAAAAGCATTCTGAACCACAGCAGCCACCTGGTTTTCTAAAGTGACTGCTGTGTTAGGCAGTAGTCCCAAGCTGTGATTCTGGCTTTTCAAAGGAAGAATAATCCCATCCAAGACAGAGGAGATCTCACGTCCCTGGTCTCATCTCTGTCTCATCAGGATTAAGTTTCAGCTTGTTCAACCTCATCCAGCTTATTACTGACGAAGCACTGGTTCAGAACATCAATAGCATCCTTAGAATGAGGTGGAAAATAAAGGTAGAGCTGAGAATCGCCTTCTTATTGGTGAAACTGTAACCCATATCTCCTGATGACCTCTCCCAGTAGCTTCATAAAGGTATTAAATAGCATGTGGGATAATATGGAATCCTGCGGAATCCCCCAGTCCACCAGTCATGGGGCAAAGCAGGAACCCCTTGGTACTACCTTCTGAGACTGACCCCCCGATAGTACTTGAACTACTGTAATACAGTGCCCCTTAGTCCCAGTGCTGAGAAGTGGCTTGGTAAGTTACTATGGTTGATAGTGTTGAAAGCTGCTGAGAGGTTCTGCAGGATCACATTTCTCCTGTCTAGAGGTTTTCAGCCAAGGCAATCAGTGCAGTCTCTTTTCCAAATCCTGACCTGAAGCCAGACTGAAATGTATCCAGAAAACCAGTCTCTTCCAAGAATCCCTGGAGCTGAGAAGCTACCACCTAGTGTAGCACCTTGCCCAAGAATGGAAGACTGGAGACTGGCTGGAAATTCTTTAGAGATGTAAAATTTCCGGAAATTTTGAAGCTCGAAAAAACCCCCGGTTTTTTTCGGGGGGAAACGGAAATTTTCGGAAAAATTGAAAAAAATGCTACATTAGCATTTCTTTTGTCTTTTCTAGTTTGAAAGTCATTTTTACTTGGCATGAAATTATCACAACTAGCATATTAAAAATATAGTGTATCCAAACAATTATTACAGAATACCACCCACATGCAAAAACAAAACTGACACTTTTTTATTTTCTTCTGACAATCGCACCTCCTAAAGGAAGAAATGCATCTTGTTCTTTCATTGGAGAGTTCAGTGTGTAACCTAGGACTTGCTTGTCCTCAGTGCACAGAAATTACATCAATCTGATACCATAAATATATATTTTAGAAATTGCTTTGAAAATATGTGTTTTCGGAAAAAAACAAAAAAGGCTTCAGGAAAAAAACAAAAAAAACCCCACGGTTTCCCCCCGAATTTTTCCGATTTTTTTCCGGGCCTTCACACCTCTAAAATTCTTCAACATTGTAGGGTTCAGGGAGATCCCCCCCCCCCCGAACAGGTCTAATCATTTCCTTGAGCACAGACAGCATAACTCTTGCTCTCAAAGAAGCATTTACCACTCCCCTTACCCACTCAGCCAGTCCCCCTCTGGCAGCTTTTATCAGCCAGGAAGGGCACAGATTGAGAATGCCTATGGTAGATTTCACCTGTCCAAAGATCTTGTCCACATCCTTGGGCTCCACGAGCTGAAAAGTATCCATATAAATTGTTCAAGCAGATACCAAGAGTGAATCTGGGCAATTTTGTCTACAAAGTAAGTAGCAAATTGATCACAGCAGGCTGTCATATGTTCAGAGTTGAATTCTTTGAGGCTATGATGTAAATGTCCCTGAACCACATGAAACAGCTCAGCTGGACAAATAGGTGCAGACAAAATGGAGGCAGAGAAATATTGCCTTTTTGCCATCATCACTGCCTCAGAGTAGGCTCTGATATGGAATATATGTCATGTCGAGTCAGCCTTGCTCTGAGTTTTCTGCCAGTGGCAATCTAGCCATCATATCTCCTATTTCATTACCATCATTACCCCAGTGAACCAGGGACACTGCTTGGCTCTGTCCGGGGGACAAAGGGCTATTGTGTTAACAGCCTGGGCTATCTCCCTCTTCCAGAGAGTGGTCAGACCCTTAACAGAATCATCAGTAGCTGAAGTGGGAAAACCCCCAAGTGCTGAAAGGATCCATCAGGTGCCTGGGGTGGAGCATCTTGACTGGTCGATCTCCTCTGTGGAGGAAAGAGAAAGCAGTAAGTGTGAACTCTAATCAGGTAATGATCTGTCCATGACAAGAGAGTAAGCTTTAACTCCCCCACCTCTAGTTCACCCTCCCCAGCAGTATAACAGACCAAATCCAGTGTGTGCCCTGCTAAATGTGTGGGGCCTTGGTTGTCATGGAGGCCTTGAAATTCCTGAGCCACTCCTAAATGCTTGTCCTTGGCATGGATGTTAAAGTAAACCAGGACCACCTGTCTTGGAGTGTTTAGCAGCTCACCTGCGATCAGATCAGATAGCTCAGGAAGAGAGACAGCTGGGTAGTGAGATGGATGGTACACCAGCAGAATCTCTACCTTGTCCCAGACTGCTGGATGAGGCACCTTGATAGATGGATTGAATCATGATAGACCACTGTGACCCCACATCCCAATCCCCCTAATCTAGAGGACCAATCTGAGTCAGATTTACACTGCCGTTCTCCCTCTGAGAGGAGGACATCTTGATGGGTGTTTCCCACCCTATCTGTAGGGAGGCAGGAACCAATTTTTCACTTCCTGTCCTCTTGGTGGGACACACCCCTCAGTTCTTGTCCTGTCTCAGTAGGGAGAGTAGCACGAAGTTGACACTTGTGCCTTTTTGCTTAATTTCATTTTCTATTCCAGCCTTACTCCTCCTTCATTCCTCCTAATAACTTCTTCCTCCCTTCTTCTCCTGTTTGCTCCTTGACTGTCCTCCACTTACTCGCTCTTGCTTATTCCCACCTCTGACTCCTTGTCCTCCCCGACACTCTGGCTGGAGCATGTCTGACCAGGACGGATCCGATGGCTTTCTCTCCAAGGGCGATTTAGCTGGAGCCTTCACAGAGGAGGAAAGGCCTTGTTGGCCAATCAAAGCAGCTAGGAAAGACCATTACTCCATCATGCAGGATCACCCCCAATGGGACCTTTCACAGGTTGAGGACAGTGAGCTGGGGGATAGAGAGGAAGGGAAACTTCTGTCAGATGAGGAGGAGGAGTTGGAGGTTCCAGAGCCTAGTAACTCTGCTCACTCAGATAAGTCCAGGCCAAGAGGGAGCAAAGAATATTTTCCCAGAACCCATGGACTGAGAGGGTCTTTCCTTTTCCTGAGTTCCTAGAAAAGCGGCTTGTGAAACCCATGGCTAACAAATATTGTCCTCCCAATATTAAGAAACTATATGCCTTACTAGCCTTCGCCAATAAGTTTCTACAGATTCCCCTGGTGGACACCCCAGTAACGGTACTCCAAACCTCTGGTCTGCTTTCAGAAGATGGAGAAGGCATTGTGAAGGATAGTCTGAAGGCAGAATTTGCTTTAAGGAAGGCTCATGAGGCCATCATGAGGTCATGACCATCAAGGCATCGGCCATCGCTACTATTGTGGCAAGGGCAGCAATAGCCTGGTCCAGAAAGTTCATCCAGCTAATCCCCAACTCTAGTAGGTGTTAGGCTGAGGGTGCAAACCTTACTAAAGGCATCCTGCTTCTTTGCAGATGCCACTCTAGACGCGATGATCTTTTCATCCAGAGCCCTAGCCTCCACAGTAGCTGCCAGAAGAATGCTCTGACTCAGGGTGTGGCAAGCAGACCTTCACGCCAAAGCCATTGTCACTGCATATCCCTTCCAGGGCAATTACTTATTCAGGGATGCTTTAGACAAGACACTCATAGAAATGAAGGATAAGAAAAAGGCAATGCCCAGGTCTTTGGATAGACCAGAAAGAAGAGGCTCAAGCAACTATTCCTTTTGTACCCAATGGCTCCTTCCAAGGTTCAATAGAGACAACAGGAGATCATCCTGGGGGGCACCTAGACAGAATTTCAGAAGAAATACCTTTCACAACCGATTTAGCAAACCCTTCTCCAACAGGGAGGATAAATCAGGACGGGACAACAAGCCTTCAAAGGCATGACTGTGATTCAGCTTCAGTGGGGGGACGCTTGTTGCTGTTCCATCAGAAATGGATTGACTCAAACGCAGACAACTGGTCTCAGGAGGTTACCTCCAAAGGTTACTCCATCAAATTTTTGAACAGACTTCCAGACCGCTATGTCCCCTCACCAGCAATAAAGAACCCAACCAAACTCCACAGAACCCTAGATGCCATCTGACATCTATCCAGCATTCGGGCTACAGGAAGGACGTAGATCCTCTGAAACCTCGTATCAGGAGTGTGCTGGCCTTCTTACAGGATGGCCATGATTCTGGGTTGAAGGCTTCCACTCTCAAATGCCAGGTGGCGGCCCTGGCCACGGTTCTTCCTACGCTCAGTGGCTGGGGACTCTCTAGACACCCTCATATTCATTGTTTTCTTAAAGGGGCAGCGCTTCAGGACCCTTTTGCATCTTACAGATTCCCCATGTGGAGGTTAAACATGGTCCTTAATGTATTGACTACGCCCCCTTTCGAGCCCATAAAGGAAATTCTTCTGGAGTGGCTACGGATGAAGACCTTATCTCTGGTGGCAGTGACCTCAGCACGGAGGGTGTCAGAGCTAGGAGCCCTTTCCTCTAACCCGCGGCTCTGTGTGTTCCACAAGGACAAAGTAGTGCTCACTACGGATCTCGATTCCACAGATCATAGGAGATCTGCTTGCTGTCCTTCTGCCCAAATCTGGTTCATCCCATAGAACAGACCTGGCACTCCTTAGATGTGCGCATGCTCTGAAGTGAACGTGCTTCATCACACTAGTGACTTCAGGAAGACGGAATCCTTGTTCATCTCCATTCCCCCCCTCCCCAAACAAGGGATGTAAAATGTCCAATGCCACTATTCTGCTCTTAAGTCTTGTATCACCGAAGCCCAGGGCTATTTTTGGGCAGGAACACACAGGAACAGAGTTCCGGCTGACTTCAGAGTTGGCCACACCCGCTACAGCCAAAACCTTTGAATGTGTGGCTACAGAGGGAAGGCCTGGAGAGCACCTCCCTGGCGACTCAGAGGCAGGTGGGCCAGGGGCCCCCTGGAAGGCCTTCCCCAGCCTTCCCTTCCCTTCAAGGGGGGGGGGCTTGCCCTGGTAAGCCAAGGAAAGGCATGGGGTGTGGCCTGATATGCTAATGAGCTGTGCTGTCGGGGGTATGGCCTAATATGCTAATGCATTTCTGCTGTTGGGTGTGGCCTATTATGCTAATGAGGTCCTGCCCTGCTGAGCTTTTTCTACAAAAAAAGCCCTGCCGAAGCCTATAGGGCTCAAAAGCTGGTGCCCCCTCCAGGAATCACCACTCCATTAGAAGCACAGCAGCAAATGCAGCCTTGGCAAGTCGTGCCACAGTGGACATTATTTGCAGGGCAGCCGTGCGGTTGTCTGTTTTTATGTTCATTATATAGTATAAGATAAACGTCTGTGACTCAGCTGATGCAGCCTTCAGCCAAAGGATCCTGCAGCACGTTCTGACAGACGATGATGACCCACCCAACTGATGAGGACACTGCTATGGGAAGTCCCATCAAGGTGTCCTCCTCTCAGAGGGAGAAAGGGCTATTGGATACTTACTGAGAAGGGTCCTTCTCCTCTGAGATAAGGAGGACATCTTGGCCCATGTTATCATCAGTTCTGTTTCATTCTGCTGCTTTCTGTCTCTCAGCTAAATATTCCTTCCTGTCTCTGTTGTTTTTCTCCTGTTCTTATTCTGTTGTTTTTGCAGTTAAGACTAGCTATGGCTCAGTTACTAATAGTTTTCAGTTGTCTACTGCTTCTGGGAGTTCCTGGACTGAGTTGATGGGCATGTCCCACCAAGAGGACAGGAAGTGAAAGATTGGTTCCTGCCTACCTACAGATAGGGTGGGAAACACCCATCAAGATGTCCTCCTTATCTCAGAAGAAAAGGACCCTTCTCGGTAAGTACCCCATGGCCCTGTCTTATCCAGCTATTGTTGCAATGCAAGCTTATCAATGTGTTTTAATGGAATAGAACTGTGCAAAGGGACTGTACAACATGGCGACCTGAGAATACCTGTTGAGACTGCACACCTGAGAGAGGGACGCCTTCCTTTAGTGTTGCTGCCACAGTGTTAGTCCAGAGTCATCAGACATCTCACCTGCTGTGAGATGAAGCAGTTCCATAAGCCTGTACAAAGCTTCAGACACCATGCCATGGAAAACATGACAGAGAACTCCGGACGCTATTAGGAGCTTCTTCCAACACATGTAGGCAACCTCTCCCCCCCCCCTTCCAGCTACCTACAAATTTAATCAAGAGACAATAGCTCTGCTACCTACAAATCTACTCAAGAGACAATAGCCCTAGCCTGATGATTCAATCAGCCTCCATCCAGGTGCCAAATCTCAGTCTAAGTTTCTAGCTCTCAATATTGACCACTCCTTAGTCCCCCTCCCCTCTTCCAGCCAGCCAATAGTATGTTTTATGGGACGGACTAACAGAAGGTGTCACAGGGATGTGGCCAGCCTAGCCAGCCCCCCCATGCCATGTTACAAAAGATGCTGCCCGACCACATGGTCTCTCTCTTACCCTCTCCACGACCCCTATCAAAGCTTTAACCCTCATATGTCCAGCTTGCTATCCACATACCCTACCTCCATCTTTAAACTCTAGATCGGCAGCTAGAGTCCACGTGGTTCTGCTGGTTCAGAGCACGTGTTCCCCATTTTCTATTTATAAACCCCTCCATTCTTCCATTGGAACGGCTCAACTAATGAAGACAGGTAAATATTGCCCAGCCAACGAATGTCCTGCTAAAGCAACTGTGTTAAAAATCTATCTTTATTTCTTAGCATATGTATAAATGTGTGTGTGGTTGTGTATTGTTTGAATGATATATATTCCCTAGTAAAAAGACAATATATTTTATTGAATACAGTCTCTGTGTCTGTTCTGGTGCTTACAGCAAAGGTGGGACTTCTGTATACATTGGTGTGAACCCTAATTTGCCTATTGCCAATTAATAATCATAACTTCCCCTAGACGAATTAATAATTCAAGGCAATTTGGCTAACACTATGTCTATACTGTACATGCCAGATCAGCCTGCTCATCCAGGATTAAAGCCTGAATGTCAGTAGTTTTTCTGTTTACTGACCTGGCATTCAACAGCAGGACCTTAAAGCCAAGGGGCCCAACCTTGGTGCAACCTGGTCTCTATTGGCTGGGAAACAGACTTGAAGGAAGAGTGACCAACCTGTGGCCAGGCTTTTTTTCCCTGGAACAGCCAGTCTGTATCCCACCACCATATCTCCTGACCAGCACCATAGGAATGGCAGCTCTCTCCCCAGGGGACATAACTACCAGCTATTCCCCCAATGAGAAGACAGCTGAAAGGCAAAAACCCCCCCCCCCCCCAGTCATCTCATGAGCCCTTTAGCCCTCCTAGTATCTCTGGTTCTGTAAACAAGGAAACAGCCCATGCCTTTGTTTCCCACCCTTTGGTGTTGCCCCTTTGGTACTGACCCTGCTGGTGGTGGTCCACAAGAGTCAGGCTTTATCCCAGAAGCCCATGGAAAGATGATGATTCAAGTTTGTCTTCTGTGCAGCAAACAATTGATTCAAGAGCCTGCTCCAGCAAAGAGTTATGATTTCAAACAGGAGTCCCACTGGTGAGGTTCTAAGCAGCAACAGCAGGCAGCTGGATTGTGGCGTCCTCTTATTAGGGAGGACTGGTTTTCCCTTTAAATGTGCTCTTTGCTTTTGTAAACGGGGTAGTTTCTGCTGCCACCAGGAATTTAAGGATTTCCAAACCTTCTCTCTGTTTCTTTTACTGGTAAGGTAACCTAGAGTCGGGGCTTTTCAGGGATCTTTGTGGTCCTGAGGAAAGATAGAACTAAATTCGGGGGTAAACTTAAACAAAAGATTATTTATTGAAGTAAGAACAAAATATGAGGTTGGTTATTCTGTAACTGTCTTGGATAAAGGGACTTGAAAATATGTCTATCAAATGTATCACACACACTGTCTTTTTTTCTTTCACTTTTTGTTTGTTTTGACTTTCAGTTCTAACTTTAACAGGAGTCACTCTTTTCTATAGTCAGCCACGCAGGCTAAGGACATATATACTGCACTCTT